GTAGTAGGTACTAGTAGTAGGTACTCGTAGTAGGTAGTAGTAGTAGGTACTAGTAGTAGGTACTACTAGTAGTAGGTACTAGTAGTAGGTACTATTAGTAGGTACTACTAGTAGTAGGTACTAGTAGTAGTAGGTACTAGTAGTAGGTACTAGTAGCAGGTACGAGTGGTAGGTACTAGTAGTAGGTACTAGTAGTAAGTACTAGTAGTAGGCACCTTGCCTCCAGCGCCCTGGGAGCGCGCGAGAAAGCCCGAGAGCGCAATAGCGAGTCGAGCATCTTACCCAGCATGCGCAACTGGCCCTCGCCGTCGGCCTCCTTGCCCAAGCGCACGCCCAGACGCTTCGCCCCTGCTGTGAACAGATGGCATTGGTACCGCGGGTACGCCTGCACCACTGCGCACTGTTTAGACGCGCGCTGAAAGGCAACGACATCCAAGCCGCGACCCTCCGCCATGTCGCCGCCCTACTCCTCGCGATACGTCGTCCGGGCGCGCCCGACCCCGCCGTCGCAGTTGAGCCACAACCGCGCCAACCACACAGCGAGTAGCTGCACCTCCAAGCGTGTGCCAATGAACTCACTGAACAAATACATGTCAGTGTTGTTCATCTGATAGTTACATTCCCCCCGCGCGTGGTCTGACCACTGCGGGCCCTGCCTGAAAACAGAAAAAAACAGCCCAGATTGCAGGACGCGGCGCTGGAAGACAACACTGTGTTTCACGCCGCCACCACTCTGAGCGCAAGGGGCACACTCGGCACGGAAATCCAGCTAAACACCGCGCCCCAAAAAAACTGAACCCCTTTGTTCCGTTTCACCGCGTCCTGGAGTAACTGCAACGCGGCCGGGTCCACGCACACCTTCTCGAAGAAGGCCTCGGCGGCGGCTGCCCCGTGAATGTTCTCCACCGTGCTGACCGGTGCGGCGTTGGCATAAGCGGCCAGCTCCGAGACGCGCTCGCGGATGTTCATCGGCACTCTGCGAAGTCCGTCAAGCCTGTGTCCTGCACGCGGCGCCGCTGAAAAAAAAAGAAGAAGCTGTGGCAAAACATGGGTGGAACAAAGCAAGGGGCTGGATTTTTTAAAGTAAAAATATATGGTTTATATATATATATATATATAAATATATAAAAACTGGGCATGATCTGTGGCATTTTCACACCCATGTCCTGGAAGCTCATGCCCTCCATGAGCGCGACAGCATGGATTCCCATCGGCGTCCACGCAACGTGTCTGGTGTTTACTGTCTGGGCCATCCCCGCCCCGATGGGGACAGCACCTCACTCAATTAAGCACCATTTGGGCCAAACTCCTGAGGTAAGGCTTGGGAGGGCGATGAGGGGTGAAGATGATGATGATGATGATAATGACGAGGATGACGATGATGATGATGATGTTGATGATGATGATGATGATGATGATGAGGAAGAGGGAGAGGATGAACGAAAATGACGGGAGGAAGGGGAGGAGGCGGAGGCGGAGGAGGAGGAGTAGGAGGAGGGAGAGAACGAGAAGGAAGAAGATGATGAGACATGAAAACATGAGGAGGAGGGTGAGCAGAAGTAACCGAAGGAGGAGGCGCGCAGAAATGCAAGGGGGAGGAGAGACGGAGGAGGAGGGAGAAGGAGAGAAAACGAAGGGGGGGGGGAAACGAGGAGGGAGGAGGAGGAGGAGGAGGAGGAGGCAGCCGAGGAAGAGGAGGAGGAAGAAAAGGGGGAGGCAGCTGAGGAAAAGGAGGAGGCAGAAGCCGATCAGCCGATAAGCGGTCGACCTGCAGGGGGGAGGAGAGACGGAGGAGGAGGGAGAAGGAGAGAAAACGAAGGGGGGGGGGAAAAGAGAGGGAGGAGGAGGAGGAGGAGGAGGAGGAGGAGGAGGCAGCTGAGGAAGAGGAGGAGGAAGAAAAGGGGGAGGCAGCTGAGGAAAAGGAGGAGGCAGAAGCCGATCAGCCGATAAGCGGTCGACCAGCCGATCAGCCGATCAGCCGATCAGCGGTCGACCAGCCGATAAGCCGATCAGCCGATCAGCCGATAAGCGATCGGCCAGCCGATCAGCCGATCAGCCGATCAGCCGATAAGCGATCGACCAGCCGATCAGCCGATCAGCCGATCACTCTTATCGGCTGATCGGCTGATCGGCTGATCGGCTGGTCTGCGTCTGATCGGCTGATCGGCTGATCGGCCAGATCGAATAGCCCCCCCGGGCTGCAACCACAATGTGATTTCCCCACTAAACCAGACCCGCCCGAAATTCAAGACTAAATCCGGAATGCAATTCACAAGACCACCCAGGGCTCTTTGATATCTGGTCCGCTACAGATCCGCCCTGCGGAGGTGGCGCCATGACTTCTCGGCCCAATCCACAAGCACTCAATGCTTGTTGACCGCGGGCTGCGCGTCCCCAGGCCGTGGGTCCAGACCCCCAGGCCGCGGTGAAGCACATCGACCGGCACACCGTGGGCCCAGGGCCAGGAAGGCCGTGACCCCAAGGAGTGGTGAGCCGGATGCACTTCACGGCGTGCCGGAGGTACTTCGCCACGCCGGTGCGCGGAAGCCTGCATCCCAGTGGCATTATGTCGGGCGTGTCTCCCTACAGGGGGATTCTCGACGAAAAATAAAAAATACCCCAAACATACCCCAAGAAGGTCAAAAGATACTCGGAAAATAGTCCACAAACTATTTTCTGACTATTTTTTGGGGGGTATGTTTTATTTTTCGTCGAAAATCCCCCTGTAGGTGGACAGGCCCGACTTAACAATGGCATTGGGATGCAGGCTTCCGCGCATCCCAATGCCATTGGGATGCGCGGAAGCCTGCCCTCGGCCACAGCTGCTCGGCGCGCGGTCCCAACGTCCAGAGCAGCCGGGCGTCCCGCCCCCGAGGCTGCACAAGACCTGCTGCGTCCTGACCAACGCCGCAGGAGCAGTCGGCATCGAACCAGCACATCGGATCGATTCGAAGTGTGCGTCGGATCGGGCTGCATCGGCACGGCATCGAACTCGATTCGTATCGGCTGCGCCAGGATGCACAGCAGCGCCACACAAGCACCGGGCCGCATCGGACCGCCGTGACATCGCCATCGACTCGGATCGGGCTGGCCAGATTCGATACCGAATCGGATCGATCGGAGCAAAATTGACCCTGACACCGGGTTGCTCATGGCTCACGCAGGCCCCTCTCGAGCTTGGCGTCACCCTCGGAGGTCAAGTTGGATGGCTGAAACCGAAGGGCGGCAGCGTCGGCAGTCGCCGATGCAGACCAGGCTCGCTCGCTTATACGAGAACAAGAAAAGGCATAAGCATCAACAGAAACTTCCGAAGGTCCGCGCGGGTTTCTGGGATCGGCGCTGAAGCGCACCAGGGGCGGCGCCGGAGGCGCCGCCAGGGGGGTTCCAGCGCCGACCCAAGAGATCTGCACGGACCTTTGAGATTCTGTGTTTATGTAACTTCTGTTGTTTTTCGACGCTCGCTCTCGTCGCACCCGGACTTACGAGTGCTCCGCTGTGGACGCGTGACTGCTGCGCACTGTCGCTGTCATCCGCCGCGCTGCCGGGAACAACGCCAGCACGAGGCCGAGCATCGATGGGCGACTGCCGCAATCATGCGCTGCAGCTCGCGCCAACGCTCTTTGCAGGACCCTGTCGCAACACTCGATCGGGCCAGCTTGCGGCGTGCACCGGGCGGGCGCCTTGTCCGCCGCAAGGGGCTCCGATTTCTCCGCGAGCCGGGGACTTTCTGCTGGCCGACCAGAGCCCCGTGGCGGAGCGCCTGGTGATCGTGCTGCGCCTGCGCCTGCGCCCTCGCCAGGAACGGCGACGACGCCGAGAGCAGGCGAGCCCGCTGCCGCGGGGCCCGCTGGGAAGAGGACGGGCGCCCGCTGGCTCAGCCGCCCTCCGGGACCCGATGCCGCCTTCTGGCCCCGACTGGCTGGCAGCCTGGCCACGACTGCACTGTAGGGGCCCGTCCACAAGGACCCTTCCACAAGGAACCCAACCCTGAGACCCCAAGGCGGCCACTGATTGTTGGCGTGGGAGCGTCACGCTTTCCATCGCGAGACCATCGAAGCCCAAGAATCCCAGGGCACCCTGGAGGCAAGCAGGGTGTTTCTCGGCATGGGCCTCCACTGTGCGGGCCGCGCGGGCGCGGCACCGAACCAGGCCCATGCCGCACGAGCGCCGGGCGGCGCCCCTCTGCACTCTGCCTCGATCCCGAGGCTCCACAGGCGGTGGACCGCCTGCCGCGGGCTCGAGGCACGGGAGCTCGCGCGCACGAGGCGCACACGTTGCTTCGTCGGGCCGCTCTCTGGCCCCCTCGGGAGGCTCCTCTCCTGGTGGCGCGGGCGGCCGTGCCGAGCCGCTCGCCGCAGGGAGTGTCCATCGCCTCCCGGCCCCAGCAGGAGGTGCAGTGGGCGGGCGCCCTGGATCGGCAGATCCGCAGCCGGCGCCCAGGCGCACATGGGCGCGCGGGGCGCGCGGCCACACGGGCGGCAGGGCGAGAGACGAGGACGCTCGGGAGGCAGGAGTGCGGTGCCACCGCGGGGGCAAAGGGGGGTCGGCAAACGACTGCTGCATGGGGGATTAGGGGGAGGAGGAGGAGGAGGAGGAGGAGGAGGAGGAGGAGGAGGAGGAGGAGGAGGAGGAGGAGGAGGAGGAGGAGGAGGAGGAGGAGGAGGAGGAGGAGGAGGAGGAGGTGGAGGAGGGAGGAGGAGGAGGAGGAGGAGGAGGAGGAGGAGGGGAGGGGGAGGAGGAGGAGGAGGAGGAGGAGGAGGAGGAGGAGGAGGAGGGTCAGATGCTCGTTCTGGGGTCCTTCCTGGAGCCACCCACTCCACTCCATGTGTCAATGCAGCGTCAAACATCCGTGGACTTGAGTCGAACTTGAGTCGAAAGTGAGTCGAACTTGAGTCGAGCTAGAAGCTAGAATCTGACTAGAGTCGAACTAGATTTGAACAGACCCGTTAGGTGGGCTCCAGAAGAACCTCCAAAACGAACATCCAAAGGGGGGTACCGACCTCCTGGTCGTGAGTGAGGCCCTCGTCCCACGTGTCCCAGAAAGACTGCCAACTCCTGGCCTTGCTGGAGATCACCGAAAGCCGGGGCGGGGGCGCCGCCTTGACAGTTCCGGGAACGGGGATGTTGCGCGCCGTGAAGTAAGCAGGGTTGACGAACACATGGTCGCGATACTCGTAGCTCGGCGTGGGGTCGTCGTTCAAGTACGCGTCCAATCCGCCAATGTAATTGAAGCCCGCACTCTGGAAAATCCCCCAAATCTCGTCCGTGGTGTCGGCCTTGGTCCTGGGCTGAACCCACGACGAGTCGCCGAGACCGGAACCACGGCCGTCATAGCTGACGAGGACGACACCTGGAAGGACAAGCGCGTCGGCATACTTGCACCCTCACCCGCGCTCCCCCTCCTCGGAGGGGCGGTGCGAGCCCAACTCTGTTGGGGCACAATGAGATGCTCCCTGGGCCTCGCCAGGGGGTCGTTTTGACAAGAATCTCGAGGCGAATCCAGCCGGGGCGACGAGGGAAGGGCAGCGGCATCAGTAATTAGATACTCCTGTCCCCAGCTCGGGCAATTTCGGTGCTGCCCCGACACCGAACTCGATGTTGCTTCCCGAGTGGAGCAGGGTCTCGTTGAGGACCTCCGCCTCGTAGTGGCCGGTCTTCAGGTTCCAGAAATCGACCTGGGAGGCCCCTCGCTGCGACCGCCTCCCCGATGGCACACACCCTCCAGCTTCGGGGGGGGCGCGGGGCGGAAGAGAGGGGGGGGGGAAGGCTTTGACCAAGGAGGCTCGTGAGGCTGGCCAGAGCAACAGGGGCCCCCCTCCACTCCTCTTCTAGACAAGCGCGTTCCACTACTCGTCAAGTAACTACTATACGAGCAGGGGGTTTACGATATACTACACAAGAACAGACGTATGGTCTTGGGGACGTTTGCGAGCAGGCACTTTGCGAGCAGCGGGACGCGCTCGGCGATCTTCCCCCGAGCGAAGCTGGGCCCGAGTGACCGAAGCGCCTGCGACGCCTGCCTTCGTGCAATCACTGTCCGGCACCTTTTTGTTCGCACTGGTTGTCCACGATCTGCTCCGCAGACGGGCAGGCTGCAGGCCGCCAGGGGGCGCGAACGGAGGGGGGCAGGAGAGCCCAGAATCGAATCGACAAGTCGGATCGGCGATCGAAATGAATCGGATCGGCGGAAATCGGCGGCCGAGTCGGGAAAAGTCGAATCGGCAGACATCGGCAGGCTAGTAGGCCTCCAATAAGAAATCGGAGCCCAAGTCGGAATCTCAAGTCGAATCGAATCGGAATCGGAAGCCATCGAAATCGAATCGAATCGAATCGGAGGAATCGAAACGAGCCCTGGAGGGGGGGAGGGAACGGAGAAGGAGGTCGAGTCGAGGTCGAGGGCCGGCGTGCGCCGGGGCGCGCCCTGCTCGGGCTGCCGGAACGCTGCTTCTCACACGTTCTCACAATCCCAGCTTCTGAACTGCTGGTGACGTCGTCGGTCCAACGTTTCAGCGGAACGGAGAATGATGGAACAAAAACGTGCCCCCGAATATTCTTTACCGTTTTCAGAAGATCCGCCGACCCTGTCGGCGTGTGGACCCCCTGTCGGCGTGCGCTCAGTCGACGCATCCGTTGTCCTCTTTCCCTGCGTCTCCGTCGTCCCCTTTCCCTGCACCCTCCTCTTCAGGCCAACCAGCGAGAGAAAACCGTAGCAACGTCGTACTTAAGTCGAAGGGAAGTCCCTTCCCTTTGATTCCACCCCCGCCGAGGGGGGGGGCGGGGTCCCAGGGTGGGGGGGGGGTCAGATACGCATCCGCCCCTGGGCGTCCGGGAGCCCAAAAAAGCGCCAAGACGCGCCAAGAGTGCCCTAAGAGGCCCCCAAGGAGGTCCAAGAGTGCCCCGAATCGCCGAACGATCCGTCCAAGACGCCTTCACGGCTTCCAGACGGGTCGAGAGGCGTGCAAGACGCCCCCAGAAGCATCCTGGATCACTCCCAAGACGGCCTCCATGAGACCCCCAAGAGGCCCAACAGAGGCCCCAACAGGCCCGAAAACATCCAAGAGGCCTTTCAACCACAACCCCAGCACGGTGGCGGCAAGGGCCGAAGGCCACAAGGCTCCCTGTCTGCCTCTGCTACGACTCCCTCGGCCCACAGGGCGAACATTTCCTTCGCCTTCTCCTGCTCCCTTCCACTTTAATCCCCCTCCTCCTCCTCCTCCTCCTCTTCGTCGTCGTCGTCTTCAGGGTCGGCGGCACCGGCCGTAAGGCCTTAGCAATATTTGTCTGGAGGCTTGCCAGGGGGGGCGGAGTCTAGAGGAGGGGGTTTGCCTGGAACCCTGGACATGGAGTTTCCAAATTGCGTGTGGGTTCGCAGGGGAGGCTTAGGGCCACCCGAACAAACCCGAGAAGCAGAAAACCGCACAGAAACCACACCCGAGCCTTCCAAAACCCCAACACAACTCCGGCACCCGCGAAGGCAAATGCAAGAAACAAGCACACTTCATCAGACTTTGGGGCACGCTTGGGAATGCACTGCGAGCTGATAGCGTGTCGCTCCGCTTCGCGGGGCGGAAGGCCCAGAAAGCCTCGGGACGTTACCGCTCGGGAATGGAGACGTGGTTAGCGTGTCGCGCCGGATCGTGGTGCGCCAGAACCAGCGGATCGACACGCCATGCTAACGTTCCCGACTGTGTCAGCGTGGTGGTAGTAGTAACGGTGGCCCCTCACGACCGTCGACAGGCCCCCCATTTCGGCCAGGAAGCTGTTGATCGGATAGGCGTGGATCCTGTGGCCGCTGTTCTCGTCGATGTTGCCGTCATAGTCGAAGCCGATCTTCGTGGCGTTCTCGTGTGGAGACATGCACCCGAGAAAGATCCACGCCTTCCTCATCTTGCCCCACAAATTAGCATACGGGTACAGCATGGGCTCTGTGATGAGGCCGCGCCAGCCAGTGAGCTCGAGCAGCAGCGTGTTGCTGGGCTGCTCGCCATCCCCGCCGTTGGTGTCCAGGTAGAAGCCGTTGGTGATGTTCTCAAGAACCTTAAGAAGAAATTAATCAGGGTGTACGAGGTTCCTGTGAATGGCTGAGAGGCTTGCTATGTACGATTCGGGAGTTAGGTGTTGATAAACCTGACCTGGTTAGTGATCCCTGGTTCATCCATCCTCAGGCACCTGCGTGAGGATCTTGACGTCCTGCCGGGCGCTGCTGAAGGACTGCAGGTTGCCTCCGGCTTCCAGGCTGTACTCGATGCCCGACTTGGGGAAGTCCAGCGTCGGCATGCCCGAGTACTGGAAGACCGGATAGCTCTGGCCGGTCTGGGGCGAGCCGATGCCCCAGGGCAGCGCGCCACCCTCGGGGACCCGAGCCGCAACAAGTGCGCCTGCTCCGCCGCTCCTCCTACCTACTGCTGTCCACCCCCTGCTGCTTCCCAGAATCATGATCATCATCATCATCATCATCATCATCATCATCATCATCATCATCATCATCATCATCATCATCATAATCAGCATCAGCATCAGCAGCAGCATCATCATAATCAGCATCAGCAGCAGCAGCAGCATCCACCACCACCACCACCATCATCATCATCCTCATCCTCATCCTCATCATCATCATCAGCATCAGCATCAGCATCAGCATCAGCATCATCATCAGCATCAGCATCATCATCCTCATCATCAGCATCATCATCACCATCATCATCATCATCATCACCACCACCACCACCACCACCACCATCATCATCATCATCATCATCATCATCATCATCATCATCATCATCATCATCATCGGCATCATAATCATCATCAGCATCGTCGTCATCATCATCATAAGCATCAGCATCATCATCCTCATCATCCTCAGCATCAGCATCGGCATCATCATCATCATCATCATCATCAGCAGCATCATCATCATCATCATCAGCAGCAGCAGCAGCATCCACCACAACCACCATCCTCGTCCTGATCATCATCCTCATCCTCATCAGCATCAGCATCAGCATCATCATCAGCATCGTCATCATCATCATCATCATCATCAGCATCAGCATCATCATCCTCATCATCATCAGCATCAGCATCATCATCATCAGCAGCATCAGCATCATCATCGTCATCATCATCATCATCATCAACATCATCATCATCATCATCATCATCATCATCATCATCATCATCAGCATCGTCATCTGTCCCCTCCCCCGGCCTCTCGCGCCCTGACCTGCCAGGAGGGGCGAGGCACGCGCACCCGTCGGTCGGAAGAAGTAGGCAGAGACACGGGGCAGGAAAGCGCTGGAAGTAGGTCGGATCTCCGCCCGCCCCCTGAAGAGGAGGAAGGAGGGGCACCACTCGACTCTTGAGGCAGGGAGGCGGCTACAGTGAATCGGGATCTGGGAATCGAGAGATGCCTACGTTCCACGACCAGCGCGTGAGTTTCTGTTCAGGAGAGGCCGGGCTCCTGGCCCTGCTTCTGCCTCTGCTCCTCGCCGGAGCTCTGGAACTCCTCCGACGGCATAAAGTCCCCGCCGAGCGAGACGACCTCGTGCGACTTCAGGGTCATGAGGAGCAGGGGCCTCTTGGACGATGCGTTCTCGATCCCGTGAAAGTACCGCAAGGCCTGGGCCGACATGGTACTCGTGCCCTCACGAGCGCCTGTGCCGGCGGCCTGAGGTCCCAGCTCGGTTTGGAGCTCCTGCTTGAGCTCCTCGAGGGCAGGATTCCCCACCACAGTCCAACTACTATAGCAGGCACATACGATCAGAGATCCTCTGTCAGGGCCCTGACGTGCCCCAGAGTTCCTGTGGGCTCCCAGGGCACGTGCTAACAGGCTGGTGTCTTATCTGATGCGCCCGCTGTGCAACAAAGAACGCAATCATCAGGAACGAAGACCCTACCCAACAGCGCCTGGGTGCACGAGGAGCGCTGGAGAAAAAGCAGGGAAGGACCTCTAAGGAATAGCGAGCCCCTGCCGAACCTGGACTGCTCCAACATGTCGGCAGCGCTGCAGCGGTGGAGGAAACACGCACAACTCTTCAGGCACCCGGCGAAGGCCTCGAACTCAGAGGCTGGCATGCAGGAAGCAGGGCCCGAGGGAAACGGGTTCTGACCCTGGGGCCTTCCCCCGGAGCAGTTAGGCATCGCGACTCCTGTTTCGTGAACGTCCCGGGGCCCGCGGAGGCCCCGTGAGTCAGCACACAGAGAGAGAAACACACAGGACCCTTTCCCTCAGTAGGGGGCCACATGCGAACCCTACCCCACCCTCCCCCTCGGGAATCGTGGGGGGTAGGGGTAGGGTTCGCAGGTGGCCCCCTGCTCAGCGATTTTACTTGCTTCAATGTTATGATATGCTTTTGTTGTTTATCACATGTTGTTTAAATTGCATATGATAAATGATATCACGGTTGTTGTCGTATTTGAAGTGATACATGAATATACGAAGTTTGTATTTGTGATAACCATGTATCATCGATTAGGTATTCCAATTTAGGGTTACGCAATTTGTTAAACCATGAGGATCAAAAATGATGAAAGAGGCCTCTGATCTACCACCTGCAGTAGGCGGCTGCAGAGAGCCGGGCCCGCGGCTCCGGCTTGAAGCCGATGCCCTGCGCCAGCGGGGCCCACAGCGTCAGCAGCCCGAGCGCCGCCGCCATGTGGTGCGTGAAGGGAGTGCTTAGGCGGTGTGCCATGAATGAATAGTTTTCCTGAGGCGCCCCAGAGAGGCTCTTCCCTGAAGAACTCAAGAGCTCGAGCCGAGGCGGCCACGGAGGAGGGGGACCTCGCAGAGGGGGAGGGGCAGGAGGCCGCGGAGGAGAGGGACAGAGAGGCGGGGTGGGGAGGAGGCTGGAGGAGGGTGGCGATGGTGTGGAGGACGGGGCCGAGACCACCCCGATGCAGAGCGCGCCGCGCGCCTCGACGCTCTCGCCCCCCGAGGTCCGAGCCCGCGGAGAAGCCCACGGCAGCGCCGCGGCACGGGTCACGACCAGAGCTCTCGGCACCACGCCGTTCTCTGCCCGGGCCCGAGCGATCCGTCGTGGTCCTGGGGCCCGCAACGGACTGGGGCAAGGGAGCGCGGGCCACCGCCGCTTTGCTCCACGACCACAAGATCTGAAGGCCATCGGACCGGATCGGCAAAGGATCGCCCGCGAATCGTCCTGCACCGGATCGAAATCGGATCGCCGCGCCTGGCTATACGCTATGTCTACAGTCGGCTTGTCTCATAAGCATGCACGATAAGGATGCAAGGGCCTTGGAAAGGACATTCCGAAGAGTCTTTTCGCGCGGGGCGCGGCCAGCGAACGTGGCCAAGTCTGGACCAAGGAGGGAAGGATGCAGTGGTGCCCTTGGAAAGGTTGCCCACCCTTACTGGGCGGGTTGACTGTGGCCCCCGCCGGTGCCCGCAAATCGAGCTGAGTCGGATCGCATCGCACTCGCGGCCCCGGCCGGCGGCCGGGGCCGTCGCCAGAGGCCCCCGCGCGCGAGGCCTCCGCGGGCGCCGCGGGAGGCTGGCAGGGCGCGGCCTCCCCAGAGGAGGCCCGAGCAGGTGCCGAGGAGCAGCACGCAGCACAGGCATGCCCTGCAGGATCCTGGCAGTGAACAAAAAATCGTGCTCAAGTCTTGGATCGGCGCTGGAGCCCCCCGGGGGGGCGCCTCCGGCGGCGCCCCCGGCGCGCTCCGCGCGCCAGGGGGCAGGATCCGTCAGCATCGAGCCGGAAACTCGGATCGGATCGGGACGTGCGTCGGATCGGACCGCAGCGGCACGGAGTCGAGACATGGCGACCCCGATTCCCGACTTCGCGGGGGTAATGCGGGATGACGATTAATAAAAAATATGGGAGAGAACGATTGAAAACTAGTTTTCTGCTATTTCTGCACAAGTTTCTGACTGGAGGAGAACGATTAAAAAATAGTTTCCAGCCCGCGGCCGGTTTTTTCTAATCGTCACCCCGGGCGCCGCCGCGTGACCACGACCCCCGGTCACTTATGAATCGTCATCCTCCATTAAAGGAACAGGGGGCCCGACTCGGAGATATACGATCAAGGGGCATCCATCCTAGTCATGGGGTGCGTGTGAAGAGAGCCCCAGGGTGTATTCCCGAGTTCCTCCTTCTCTTGACTGCCAGCTCTCCCGTTGTCATCTCCCTCTCGCCTTTGTCGCTGCTCTTGCATGTTTCAGCGATCTGCCTGCCACTGCAGCATTCCACCGCGGAGCCGGCACCCTTGGGGTGAGCCAACGCTTGCTGAACAAAAACACGGACTGATTGCTCGACTTGGGCTGCGAGTTGCCGTGACATTGTCCACGCATCCTGGCCAGTGACCATTTGGAGGCGGCCAGGGAGTTTAAACTGGATGGGGCCCGAGGACACCTGTCAAGAAGGTAGAAAATCTGTCTCCAAACCCCTCCCGGGGTCCATCTGGTGCAGCTTTTCACCCCATACTCGTGTTTCACGGTCCTGGGCCCCGAAACCAGCCCTCAGAGACCAAAAGAGGCAAACAAGCCCTGTCGAACCAGGAACCTCGAACCTCGCCCTCCACCTTTTCTGCTGGCCAAAACCAGTGCTGGGTCACTACAGACCCACAGCGGGCTCTAGGGCTGCGCGTTGCCTTGAGATTGCCAGTGCACCCTGGCTTGCACAGAAAGAAAGAAAACCACCTTTGCAAGAAGCACCCCGACAAGCGAAACCGTCTGGTAAACGCACACCCACAGGCAGGAAACGAACAGGACAGTGCTGCCCAGTAAACGCACATTTCCGTTGTTTAGAAAACGCAAATTTGGGGTCGGGGTGGTTGGTCATCCCTTGACAGTGACCGTCCGCTCGGCTTCCCCGTACCCGGGGGGCCCCAGGAGTGAGAGGCAACGATAGGGGGGGCTAGGCATAGGGCGGGGGATGCATCGACCTGGAATCGGCGATGCATCGCCGATAGATCGGCGAGCCCCCTGTCGGTGCCCCATGAAGGAGGCGCCGCGCGAGGCCGCCGGGGCCGGCCTGCCGAACCACGCCTCCGGGTTCTGCGCGCACAGCAGGCGCACGCGGCCCGCCGCGCCGAGGCGCCCCACCTGCCGCGCCGCGCGCGCGGGCGGCGACGGCGGGCGACGGCGGGTCGCGCGCCCTCCCCGGCTGCGTGCTCGTGAGCGTCTTTGTGGGTCGGCGTCTGGGCATGGGGCGGCCAGGGGCGGGGAGGGGGGGGGGGGGGGCGGGGGAGGGGGACGGGGGAGGGGGGGGGGGGGGCGGGGAAGGGGGGGGGGGGAGGTCTGGCTCTCCAGGCCTCTGCTCGGTGCGGCCGCCTGCAGGGAGTGCGGCGGCCGCTGAGGGAGACTCCATCCCGCTCGAAGCAGGCGCCCAAGAAGCAGCCAAGATCTGCTCCATGCGGGGGGGGGAAGGGGAGGGGGAGGGCCCGCGCCGATCGGCAGAACAAGGAATAAAAAGAACGATCACGATACGGTCGGGAGCTGGTCGGGAGACCCCATCCGCTCGAGCCAGGCGCCCAGAAAGCAGCCAAGAGCCACTCCATGTGGGGGGGGAGGGGAGAGGGAGGGCCCGCGCCGATCGGCAAAACGAGGAATGAGAGAACGATCACGATATATACGGTCGGAAGCTGGTCAGGAGCGTCTGCTTCGCGAGTCGCCCACCTGTGCCCTGCGAGTGGATGGCGCAGCGTTCCGCCCCGCGGGGCGGGAGGCTGGGAACGGCTCGAGCGGACAGCGCGTCGCTGCGCTCCTCGGAGAGGGAGGCTGGGAAAGGCTCGCGAAGTCGGCGCTTCGGGCTACACATCGAGCCGCATCGCCGATGCATGGGCGATGCGGCGCGATCCTCCGACCCCGACTCGGACACAACTTGGTCTCATCGGCGCGCCTTGCTCGCCTCTGCCGCCCGCAGAGAACATTTCCTGTTTACTGGGCCCTGAGCCGAGCCCAAAGTCTGCATCCCGAGCGGGTGGGCGGTGGGCTTACACCCAGGAAATGGAGCCCTGGCTGGTTGCATGATAACCAACCCCCACCACGACTGCCCGTGGACAATAGCTGACAAGTTTCTGTCGATATATGTTTAGTTCTGGGCCGCGCCCACGTCGCAGAGCAGGGGGCGCTGGGAAGGGGCAAGCCACTACTACTTGACAACAACCTTGCCCTGATTTGTGGCCGCCGCGATCGCCGCGGCGACCTCCAAAACGGACCCACAAGAATGGTTCGGTTCGGGGTCGGATATCACGCATCGGTTCACTCGCACCCTCTCCTGGCCCCCTCGCGCCGTCGCAGACACCACGGCGGAAGGCGTATCGCCAACTTCGAGCGCTCTGCGAGGGGCCCCTCGAGGGGCCTCGGGGCCGCCAGGAGGCGGCTCTGGACGAAAAGCTGGCCCCTGGGGCGGGGTGAGGAGGAGGAGGAGGAGGAGGAGGAGGAGGAGGAGGAGGAGGAGGAGGAGGAGGGTGGGGACGCACGCCCGAACTGAGTCATCAGGTCTGGGGCTTGGGGCCTGCGCCCGGAGGCGCGGGCACGCCCTTTGGCGGCCCTCGCTGCGCTGCAGCACTCTGCTGAGCTGCTGCAGCCCCGACCGTCGTGCGCGCTGACGCGCGTCTGAGTGGGCCACCCTGCTCCCAAGGGCCGGTCCGCAGCAGAATCCCCTTCCTCCCTCCTCCTCAATCTCCTCAAACTCCTCTTCGTCCTCGATCCCCTCCGGCTAGTCTTCTTCATCCCCCTCCTCATGCTTATCCCCCTCCTCTTCCAACCCACATCCCTGCTTGCTGTCCTGCTTATCCCGCTCCTGCTCCAGTCCTTTATTCCTTGTCATTCTGAATAACTCCTCCCTGTCGCACCCCGAGGCCAGTCGGAAGGGCGGGCCAGGTGTTTCGCCTGACAATAATTTCACAGATGGAGGACGTTTCGCTGGGCGGGCGGGCCCGACCGAAGCTTAAAAACTAACAGCAATATCACAGGTGGGGGGCGGATCGCTTCCAAAATGTGGCTCTCACCTTGGCGTCGCGCACATTCGTTTTGACATTGCACAAGCTTCACGGACTGAGGGCGGGCCGTTTTCACAATGTGGCTCTCGCCTTAGCGCCGCGCACATTCGTTTCGAACAGTTTTAAGATATTCACGTATTGAGGGCGGGCCGTGGTAAAAATGTGTCTCGGGCCTTAGCGCCGCGAACATTCGCTTTAGCAAATTGCAAGGAGTTGCGCGGATGCCGATGGTTGACCTACCAGAACTGGTGTTCTTGAGCAACTCAGCATAGTCAAGTCGCAACAATTACATGTAGTCGCGGAGTCGGAGTACAAGGAATGGTGTCCTGGCATGATTCAGGATCGCCAAGACGCAACACATCAGGTTGGCGTTGGAATCCCGAGAATGGTTTATGGCGCACCCCAGGATCTTCCGCGTGGCTGGGTTTGAGGAGGCACGACATAAAGGTACTATCTGACTTCCTGGGTCCGTCATTTCCACCCTCCCCTGCCGAATCAAGCAGTGACTCACTAAAGGTTTCAACAACAATTGTGTGATGAGACCGAGGATCGCGTTCGTTTTCTGGCGTGCCTTCAAAATGCACTAAAAGCGTAGGTTGAGCCAACATGGTTACGGAAGCCCTCGCTCCCGTCTCCGTGTGTCGCTACTGCTGCGGGGCCTCGGCTATCTGATGGTTGCCCGCCCGACCGCCGAGAGAGAGCGGCTCAGCGCTTGCATTGTTTGAAGGATGCAATGTTCGCCCCCTTGAAAATCACGACGAAACTGCCCGCCCGACCGCCGTGAGCTGTGACAAGTTATACACCGTTGGCCTGGAACGGGGCAGTCTACATTCCAGGGATCTGGCCTTGGAACAAAAACAGTTCGAAAATGTACTGACAGGTTTCGGCGCCAAAACTGTTAAATGGATTGTGGCACGCATCGGTGTACACAATTGTTACTCCATGGCCGTTGCTCACTCAGTGGTCAGACGGACTTGCAAATCTCCAGATTGTTGTCCCCCAGCGCAGGGCCCTTTCCTCCAGTGGAAATGAATCAGTATGGGGGCCTATGAAGACGGATCTTGGAGGGAGGGTTGCGTCCAACACCGTTGATGAGTCTTGGGTTTACACTGGCCCTCCATCCTCCTCCTCCTCCTCCTCCTCCTCCTCCTCCTCCTCCTCCTCCTCCTCCTCCTCCCCCATCCTCCTCCTCCTCCTTCTCCTTCAGGACCAGCGCCATTTCAGACATGGCCCTGAGCTGAAGCGGGTCTGCAACTCAACCTCTTTTCTTCTGTGCTGCTGCGCTGCTACGGTGGCGAACTCTGCCAAAAGCTCGACCTGTGCCCTAAGTCCTCTGGTGTGCTCCCTTCAACACACCAGTAAAATAACACACGCACGTGGGAATCCGAGGGGGCTCTAGATGAAGCCAGGAATGTCTGGGGGTAAACACGGAGAGACATCCCTGCGACACAGAATATGCGATGCCGTGCATTGTTAAACAAATTTCTTGGGGAATCCTCGTCACACCTTGCGGAGAGCACAAACGGAATGGGCCCCCAACCCCGAAGAAGAAACCGAGCAGCAGACTTCGCGATGGTTGCTGCGTTAGGCGAAGCAACTTTTTCACAACGGACGCTAAGCATGAGCCGTAACGCTACAACGGCGGGGACAACGTGAAATGGCAGCAAGACCGCAGGCATTTGCGCTGGGCTATGTCCCGGAAGTCAGTGCCTCTGGTGTGCGAGTGTTGAGTGGGAGCAGGACCGCCGGCCTCGCCGCCGGGCTGTGTCCTGGAGGACGATGCCTCTCTGGTGTACGGGTGCCCCGACCACCGAGAGCGTCTGAATAGAGACACGCGCGTGGATTAACAGACGCACGCGCCACGAAACAGACGCATCTGCAAACTAGAAAGACACATGCGCCCGAATCTATGGAAACGTTACCTTTTTCAATGGTTTCAGCACTTGAAAAAAAACACCCGCCCCTTTTTCTAACATAGTTAGGTTAATTGACGCGGTTGGCGCTGGTTTCGTGGAAAACTCGCGTCCCCGCAATCATTTCAGGGGAAGTTACGAAGCATGGAAACCTAGCACGGATACTCCCGAGTGCCCGACGGCCGACGCCGTCGAGGTCACGCAGCCGCGCCATCCAACAAAGCTTGAGCCAAAATTGCTACGGCGGAGGAGGGAGGAGGAAGGGGGGGTAGGAGGAGGGTGAGAGGAGGAGAAGGGGAGGAGCAGGAGGAAGAGCGGAAGGGAAAGGAGGCGGAGGAGGGGGGAAGAGGAGGAGGAGCAAGAGGAAATGGGCAAACAGGCGGAGGAGGAGGAGGAGGAGGAGGAGGAGGAGGAAGACGACGACGACGACGGGAGGCGGGCGGGCCGCGCTCCTGGGGGGCCGCCGTCGTCGAGTCGACGTGGCACTGCCCTTTGTGCTGCTGTGCCTCCTTATCCTCTTCATGTTTTTTTTCGTCCTCATCCTCCTCCCGCTTCTCCTCCTCCTCCCCGTCCCCCTCCTCCTCCTCCTGCTCCTCCTCCTCCTCCTCCTCCTCTTCTTCCTCTACCTGAGGAGGTTCGAGGCTTCCCCCCTTCGCCTGGTTCCCCAGCGAGCGGGACGTTCGAAGTGGACTGGAGACGTTCCGAGCCTCTGGGGGCAGGCGGAGGGTGTTATTATTGTTGTTGTTGTTGTTGTTGTTGTTGTTGGTGTTGTTGTTGTGGTTGTTGTTGTTGTTGTTGTTGTTGTTGTTTTTGTTGTTGTTGTTGTTGTTGGTGTTGCTGTTGCTGTTGTTGTTGTTATTGTTGTTGTTGTTGTTGTCATTGTTGTTGTTGGTGTTGTTGTTGTATTTGTATATGTTGTTGTTGCTGTTGATGTTGCTGTTGTTGCTGGTGTTGCTGTCGTTGCTGGTGTTGTTGATGGTGTTGTTGGTGTTGTTGTCATTGTTGTTGTTGTTGTTGTTGTTGGTGGTGTTGGTGTTGGTGTTGATGTTGGTGGTGTTGTTGATGTGATTGTTGTCGGTGGTGTTGTCGTCGTTGTGGATGCTGTTGGTGCTGTCGTTGGTGTTGGTGTTGTTGTTAGTGTTGTTGCTGTTGGTGTTGGTGTTGATGGTGGTGATGTTGTTGTGGC